ATGCCTGCGTGTGCGTAACGTCGTGCGCATGTACGTGTGTGCATGTATGTGCTTGTTTAGCCCTGTTTACTGTTTGTTTTGCACTGTTTACTACTGTGTGTATAATACATGTATGTTAATAAAGGATAACTTGTATAGTAGCGATGATATCTCTGATTCTCATCACTTTAAAAAAAAAAAAAAATTCGAATTTGTTTTTTGTTTGTTTTGATGAAATCGATTATGGATTTTGATAACCAAGCGCTTGGTTTGAGCCACTGTTCAACCGATGATCGAGTATAATCGATGATCGTGACATCACTACCGTCGCGTGAAGCTGGGTTTACACTACCGACTTTATGTTGTCAAATTACCGAGTTGGATCAATTTCGCAATTCAGCAACTCCGAGTTGGCATCTCAACGTTCTAATCTCCCAACTAGTTGCTATCGACCAGTTGCTCGCGCGACATTTGCGTTTACACTGCCGATTGTCGGTTGTATAGTTGGTCCAATTGGTCCAATTTGCCAATTTGACAACATAAAGTCGGTAGTGTAAACCTAGCTTTATGCGCTCGCAAACACGACACAGAAATACTGTCAAACACGACACTGTAGGCGCGCGGGTCATGCAACGACGTGCGTCGCATGTATATATGCGCTTAGTCACTGTCATGTATGCGCGCACGGACACGACGCGAGGAATACTGTCGCACACGATGACGTGAGTGTTTACGGTATGAGACCTTCTTGAATTCCGCCATGCATGGATACACATGTTTATTGAACAGGCCATTATGGACGCATTCACGCACAGATACACATATTTATGAAACAGGCCATTTATGGACGCATTCACACACAGATACACATATTTATGGAACAGGCCATCTATAGATGTACAAATACATACATTTATGGAATAGGTCATTCCCGAAAACATATCACCATTGGATTCATGTACTTACGAAAAATCACAGCATTAACAAAATAGATGATTTACGAACACAGTCATACGTGGATACAGGCTCACAGACTCAAAGGAACTTTACTCACATCAAAACCCTTGGCCATGAGTGGGAGGGCGCGTGCAAAGCGAATCTGTAACGAATCCTTCACTCTGCACATGGTCGGTAGCAGCAGCTGCGCATCAATGCTGCTCCACAGGATGTAGATCACCTCAAGCAGTCCTGACATCAACTCTACAACAGCAATGTAACGTTTGCTGCCTACACGCGGTGTTCATTACACCCGCATACGCGCACGCATGCACGCACGCACCACACATATGCACACACGCATGCACACACGAACATACATGACTGCACACAATCACACACGCACATACAGATACACGCATGCACGCACAAACGCAGACAACACACACGCATGCACGCACGCACACGCACGCACACACGTGCACACACGAAACAGTCGCTCTCTTCTTAAAACTACGAACAGGCGAGTACCGCCCGACGTGGTTCACAACGCTTTACACACAGTCACACGCGTGCGTGCAAGCGAGAGCAGGGTGCGAAATTAACGGAAGTCCGGAGTCAAATACTCCCTGATTTACTGTCGGACTCCCTGATTTGACATATGCAGGAGTCCGTGTAACTCCCTGGAAATTCTGCCATACTAACTAGTTTGTTCCAGAGCATGGCCTCGTGGAATTACCGTATTTTCTCACCATATGTCCAAAGAAAATTAGGCAGATGTGCAAACGCATGAATCTTCAAAATAAGCACATGCGTTATTGTTAATATCTTTCGTTTTGAAATTCAGACTGCGGGCTCCCTCATTTTGCTGCGGACTCCCTCTTTTAGAGGGCAGGGAGTCTGTTGGACTCCCGTGTTCAAAATTTAATTTTTACCACTGGAAAGTCTCCCAGCAACCTACCCGTGTCCTTCAAGCTCAACTCCATCTCGATGGAGCTCTGCTCGTTCGTCACGTCGACGCTAGAGGGCGCTTCGCCGTCGCTGCTCTCGTTGTTCTCCATCTCCTCGCGCAGCTCTCGCTTGATGCAGGCAACGACGCACTGACCCAGCAGCAGGATGTACTTCCCTGCGGGCAGAGAAACGTCACGCCGTCAACGCTGCGGCATCCTCGGAGGGGGAGGGGGACTGTGATGTTCACAAAAAATATATAATATAGTCCAGCAGATATGTGCAATATATTGGCAGAATTGTGCTTTTTTGGATAAAAGCATGAAATTTGGCACACAGTTTGAACATGTCCTTAGAGAGATTTTCGGCTATAGGGGCATCGCAGATTTGTCCCATGGCAACAATGGCGACCATTTTTCAAGATGGCCACCATTCAAATCCGTCATCCTACATTTTCAGCTGATATTCAACATAGAAACATGATCTTGGTGCCCAAACTAACAATATAGCAAGGACTCACCGATGTCCTCGACAGACATGTGCCGGTGGACGTGCTTGTAGAAGACGCGCGCCGCCCCGCGACTGCTCGTCAGCAGGCTGAGGCAGCGGTCGAGCTGAGCCTCGGCTGGCTTCTCTCGCGGCAGGAAGCTGCTGAAGACGAGGCGCACGATGCGGTCGCCGACCGCATCCCCGTCCACCTCCAGCTGCGCTAGCAGATTCTCTATCGGCGCCACCTTCCAGTACTGCGGCGAGATCGACGGGCGATGAAGATTGCAGCCATGAGTGAGATTATGAGTGAGATGACAAGCGATATATATATATATGTTCCTTATTATCCATTGGATAAAAGATATAGAAGGGTTAAGATAAATACTGGAGAAAAGAAGCGATATATATATATAATATATGTCTTATTATCCAACAAATGAAAGATATAGAAGGGAGGGATGAGATAAATACAGGAGAAAATAAGGGATACATTTGATCTATATATCTATCCATCCATCTATGCATTAATGCACGCGCATGCATTCATTCTTGCTGCATCCATGCATACATGCACATATGCGTGCATCCATCTGTCGATCCATCTAGCATTGATGAGATGTGTGCATACCTTGATGGCTCTCTGACCCTTGATCTTGAGCAGTAGTTTAACGAGAGCTATGCGCACCATCGTCGAAGAATCGTGGAGACAAAACTGCAGGTTAGGAAGCAGTGGAACCAGAGTCGTATGAGACAGATGGTTACCCAGCAGCAGCATGACACCCTGTAGCAAATCACGTAAGAGATAAACAACTAACCTTTAGCGTGGCAGCACTGAATAAGATTTTTCATTAAGCACAGTGGCTCACACTAACATTTAAGGCAACCCTGACTTTCAGTGTGGTGGAGGGAGAGGGCTGGAGTCAGTGTGGTGGAGGGAGAAGGTCGACGGAGACTCACCATGCTGGTGTGTAGAACATCCTTCATCTGCTCTAGACACGGCCTGTGTTTCTCCAACAACAGACGTCGCCGGTGAGATGTCTGTAAGAGCAGTGCCATGTAGCGCTTTGCCATCTGTGGACGAGGCTTGCTGTCCGGAACCTGGAAGGTGACCCCCTTCTTTTTCTGCTGATCCTACAGGTGAACACAGCAGAATAATAATAATAATAATAATAATAATAATAAATACTTTTAGCACCATTAAACTGCAACCATTAATAACTCAAACTCAAGACTACTGTGACTGACTGAGTGAGTGAGTGAGTGAGTGGGTAAGTTTGCGAGGGAGTACGTGAGCGAGTAAATGAATAAGTGAGCGAGCGCACAAGTGAGTGAGTGAATGAGTGAGTGAGCAAGCACACGAGTGAGTGAATGAGTGAGTGAGCAAGCACACGAGTGAGTGAGTGAATAAGTGAGCGAACAGATGAGCGTGTACATGAACGTGCGAGACCTGTTAAGCGTGTGAGCGAGTGAGTGAATGAACGAGGGAGCGAGCAAACGAGTGAGTGAATGAACGAGGGATCGAGCGCACGAGTGAGTGAATGAATGATCATGAGGGAGCGCGCGAGTGAGTGAATGAATGATCATGAGGGAGCACGTGAATGAACGTATGAGTGCTTGTTAGCAGACAGCGCTACTTTGTTCAGCGGCGCTTGCGAGCCCTAACCCTAACGTACCGGTGCGCGCGACCCGTTGAGCGCCGACGGCGGCTGCAGGACGGCGCGGTACCAGTCGGCGCACAGCTCGACGACGTCTCCCGCTCGCAGCCAGTTGCACATGCACTCGAGCAGCACGTCGTAGTCGTCGGCGTCGGCCGCGTCCGGCATGCTGCGCAGCCGCGGCACGCACGCGCGGCTGAACTGCGGCACCTTGTTCGGCGGCAGGAAGCTCGTCAGCGACATGACGACGCTGTAGGCGTGCGGGTCCTGCAACGACGTGTACGCGTGTGTTAGTCACTGTCGCGTGAAGCTGGGTTTACACTGCCGACTTTATGTTGTCAAATTACCGAGTTGGATCAATTTCGCAATTCAGCAACTCCGAGTTGGCATCTCAACGTTCTAATCTCCCAACTAGTTGCTATCGATCAGTTGCTCGCACAACATTTGCGTTTGGACTGCTGATTGTCGGTTGTAACTTGTATAGTTGGTCCAATTTGCCAATTTGACAACATAAAGTCGGTAGTGTAAACCCAGCTTTATGCGCTCGCGGACACGACACAGGAATACTGTCACACACGACACTGTAGGCGCGCGGGTCATGCAACGATGTGCGTCGCGTGTATATATGCGCTTAGCAGAGATGCCAATACGTATTTGAAGCAATCTGTAGTTTTTGGCCATCAAATTAGTAGTTCGAGGGTCACGTAGTGACCCGAGTTTGCTAGGGGGGTCCGGCATGCCCCCCGGAAAATTTTTTGATTCTGAGATACAATTTCCTGCATTCTGAGGGTCAAAAATGACAATAAATCGACAAAAAATAAAAAAAAATTTTTTT